CATCTTAGCTGTAGAGGGTGCAGCGTCACTGGCCCTCATATGTGGGATCTGAACCAGGGCCCTCTGGCGTCCCAAGCCAGTTCTTAACCATCGCGCCCCTCGGCAGGCCCCTAGAGTGTGTGCTCTTAACAACAAAGTTGCCAGGATGGTGGGCTATGCCCTCCCACAACTACAATAGATTGAAAATGGCAACTGGACTTGGATCTGAGCTGCACTCTCCACAACTAAACTTGAAGGACAATAGCTTGACTTGGAGATGATGGGTCCTGGGAAAAACACACTGGTTCCCAATAAAGTTATCCAAAACTTTAAAACAACAACAACAACAACAAAAACCCCAGATAAGGCATAGATAATTGTTATTTTTTATAATAACCCTGTCAAGACTTAACAGCTAAGCCCTTCAAGACCTAAGTTCAAACCAAAAACTATGCAAGAAAATTTTCAATTCTTCAGCACACTCTCCTGTGACAAAGGCTGGAATGCTTCCCACTCAGATCTAAGCTCTAAATTAATTAAAATTCTACTTTTCACAACTATTCTCTAAATCCAGCCTGCATCACTATGTGAAGTGCCAGTGAACAATGGATTTTGAGTGAGTGGAGTGAACATGTAAATTATGAAATACTTTTTTGCTATATAAGATGTAAATGATCTAAAGAGCCAGCCTCCATAGAAACTATTGCCAAAAAACTACCACCTAGTTTTCAAAGTATATAGCTTATGTCTTCAATTACTTTGTGAAGTAAATAAGGCAAACACTTTTATTTTTGTCTGACTTGTAAGGAAATGGGGGTTCAGAAAGGTTACCTGACTTGCCAACAAAAGTCATAATGCCTATCTTCGGCAGCACTGGGGGTATGACCAGAACCTAAGGGTCATAATTCCCAATTTGATACCAATCCCACAATTTATACATTATTTACCTGGCACTGGCTGTCCTCTGAGACCCTCCAGCTCTTGCTCTGCGTGAAGCAGATCCTCTCCTCCTGGCTCTCACTGGCCCCACATTGTTGTCTGAAGGCGGTCTCAGGAATTCCAGCATGCCATGAAGTCTCTGTAGCCCACTGATGAAGTTGCTCATTGAATCCATTGGAGTCACTTGCATGAGGCTGTTATGACCAGATCTCTGCCTGCGTTCCTCTGAAGCTCCTGGATTGATGTTCTCCACATTCTCTTCTTCCAAGGGGTCGGTTTCTTCTGTCAGGTCAATGGACACCTGTGAAGCAGGCTGCAACAGGTGCGGTTCTTCCTGACTGATGACCACTTCAGCAGGAGCAGGCTGGAGCAGGGGTGCTTCCCCTTGTCTGCTGACCACTTCAGCAGGAACAGGCTGTTCTGCAGCATGATGATCTGACTGCACCTGAAGGTCATATTCCATTGCTTCATGAGCCATCACTGAGGAAGCAATAGTTGTAAAAAGTATTATTAATAGTAAAATAAATAAAACATGTCACGTAGCTGATATAATCATATCTGTCTTTTAGAATTTTAATTGAAGATCATTCTTGGCAAAACTGAGAAGCTTAAAGAGATTTTGTTACTTATTTTAAATCAGAAGTGTTTTGATAATCACCCATTTTTTTCCTCCATTACAACACTTATAACCAGTTACCCAGTTCACCCTTTAAAAATAATAAAGTCAGGGGCGGCGGTTAGTTCAGGTGGTTAGAGGGCAGTGCTCGTAACACCAAGGTTGCCGGTTCAATTCCCACATGGGTCAGTGAGCTGTAACACCTACCTGGTAGTCCCTGGCCAGTCACAGGTAGTAGCTGACCTGGGCCTGCATCAGAGGACCTCCGAAGAGGCCCCAGAACTAACATACTTGGAGATTGGCTTCAAACCACAGCAGAGCACCACCCAATTAGCCCCACAAGTGTCAAAACCAAAGGGCGGTCTCAACAGGCACCAGGGCCTGCTGGGGCGAATGCTGCTCCATGTGATAAGTGTCCCAGTACAATAGCCCATAAGCGGTGGATGCAGCCCAATCTCACAACCAGTCTGAACATCAATCCCACCAACTGTCATGCCAATAGCAATCAAGGCTCAAATATAACAGGAGAGCACGCACATCCCACACAAGGGACACTCCTGGAGTACTACGCACAGGTGATCAGGGAGACTGTGCCACTGGGCCTCACAGGGCACCTACTATATAAGGCCACCTGGCAAGACTGGGAGGCATAGATCTACTTAACACATAGAAACAGAGAGAGGCAGCCAAAATGAGGAAACAAAGAAATACATCCCAACTGAAAGAACAAGGGAAAACTCCAGAAAAAGAACTAAATGAAATGGAGGCAACGAACCTAACAGAGTCAAAATTCAAAACGCTGGTTATACGGATGCTCAAGGAACTAAGTGAGAACTTCAATAAAGAGATAGAAAGCATAAAATAAGACACAACAACCATAAAAAAGAAGTGAAGAATACAATAACTGAAACAAAGAATGCACTAGAAGGAATCACCAGCAGACTAAATGAAGCAGAGGATCAAATCAATGATTTGGAAGACAAGGTAGCATAAAACATCCAATCTGAACAGCAAAAGGATAAAAGAATTTTTTTTTTAAATGAGGATAGTTTAAGAGACCTCTGGGACAACAGCAAGCAAAACAAAAATTTGCATCATAGGGGTACCAGAAGGAGAAGAGAGAAAGCAAGGGATAGAGAACCTATTTGAAGAAATAATGACTGAAAATTTTCCTAACCTGGTGAAGAAAATAGACATGCAAGCCCAGGAAGTCCCAAGCAAGATGAACCCAAACAGGCCCACACCAAGACACATAATTAAAATGGCGAAGGTTAAAGACACAGAAGGAAGGGTCAGCCGAGTGGTGCATTGGATAAGAGTTGGCTTGGGACGCCAGCTCTGAGCAGCAGGGTCCCTGTTCGGATCCCACATGAGGGTCAGTGACACTGCGACCTCTACAGCTAAGATGGTGAACAACAGCTTGATCTGGAGCTGGGCTGCCGAGAGGCAACGGCATAGGCTGCAGTGGGCTGCCATAAGCTACCATGAGTGGCTGGCAGCCAACGTGAGCAGCCGGCAGCCAGCGTGAGCTGCCAAGAGCCGCCATCCAGTGGCTGGCGACCGATCTGCCTCAGCCGGGAAGAGCGCAATAATACCAACATGGGCCAGTGAAGCGACGTCCTCCACAACTAGATTGAAGAACAAAAGGACAGAAACTTGTCTGTTCCCCTCACCTATTCCCCAATAAAATCTTAAAAAAAAAAGGAAGCAATTATATCAAAAAGTAATGTCCAAGATTTGTTAGATCTGGGTGGTGAACGCACATTTTTAAAATTATTCTACTTTTCAGTATGGTTAAATATTAAAAAATTAGATTTCTTCCCATATGCCAGTTTTGATAAGTAATCAGTTCTCATTAGAACAGGGAGGCAGAGAACAGAATCCATCATCTTCATCACTTTATCTTCCACAGCAGATTCAAAATACCTACTGAATTATCCACCAAACACCTAAAAAGAAACAAAACTAAACAAACAAACAAACAAACAAACCCCCCCAAAACTAAGAACATATCAGCACATGATATAGAGCGATACAGACAAAGACCATTTTCATCCCGGAAGAAAGCTCTATGAAACAGTGTGGCTGCTCTGGAGCAAAGCTTCCCAATGTGAGGAAACGACCTCTCCAGCTCTTGGGGTAACCAGGGATGCCTAGAGCAAAAGACTGGTCACCGCCTTGTCCTTGACCTCTGCATGTCACATAAATGCTGTTTTCTATGTGTGCCAAGAGAATTGGAGCTGAAAATGTTAACCTCCCCCTAGTCTTCTTACCAACCTTTGTTACTCAGGTTTCAATCAACATCCAGAACTGGCGGGATGATGGCCCCAATTAACAAGATAAGAGGCAGCAACAGAGTCGGTTCAATTCTCTGCTGGATCACATACTACCTGAGGGGCCTTAGGCGGGTTTCTTATCCTCTGTTCAACTAGTTTATCTGTAAAATGGGGATAATTAAAGTACATCCGTCGCAGTGTTGCTGTGAGATAAATTTGGATAAAACTAAAAATTAAGTTCTCAGAAAAAGACAAATAAAAATTAGGTTATTCAGTTAACTTGAAATAGATGCAACTAAAGGGCACTCCACGGGAGAGCAAATATTTGCAGATAAAGGGTTTGGGCCTCGGCTCCTGAGAAAGCGGCTGGGCGGCTGGGGAACCTCTGACTCGGGCCTGCAGCGAGCTCGCCTCCGAACTCGCCTCCTTCCGGGATCGCCCTAAGTTCCTGCCTTCCCCGCTCCCCACCCCGATCTCGGGCGTCTCTCTCAGCAACCTCGAAAGAGCCAGAATTCGGACGCCTCAGCCCCGAGTACTGGGGCCGCCCAGACCGGCCGAATCTCCTCAGACCGCGAGGTTCCATGACGGCCCCGCGGCCCAGCCAGGGCGCCGTGAGCGTCCCTAGGCCCTGCGTCCAGGGACCAAGTCCGGGAAGCTATTCCGGAGCCAGAGGCCCAAAACCTGCGGAGAGGAAAACTCCTGCCTCACCTGAAGCCGGAAGAACGCAGTGGAGCTCACGAGCCCGCCGCAGTAATGGCTGTTTCTGCTGCGGAACTCACGTCTCTTCGAGACCAACGGCCACTTGCCCAACAACTCAAGCTGCCCGCCTGAACCGCGGGCGCGGCCTGCTCCTATTGGACAGCAGTTCCAGCCGTCGGCTAATACCCTCTCTTCTTCTTCCTTTGGTCCCCGCTAGCTGAAAGAGCGGCGCTCTCATTGGCTGTTATTTCGTAGATTGACTAGGCGGGAGCACGCACGAGGAGGCTTCATACAATTGGTAAAAATCTACGTCCATCAAACAGCCCCAAACAGAAGAGCGGAAAAAGGATTTTACCGCTGTTTTTTTGAATTTGCTGGCGGAAAAAAGTTGTAAGAAAGATTTCTCAGTACGTTTTGAAAAGATGAAAATATTAAAACTGTGGTTCCTGCTGCATCTTTAATAGAGGAGATATCTTTATCCAAAGGCTGGTAGTTAATCCAATAAATCCAAAACATTGCCCCCAGAAATCGGAGCCTGTAAAGAGGCATGGGACAATCCCCCTCCTGTGGTTGAGTTTATGCAAAAGAATTTGCCTACACGATTTCTTCCAATCCCAAACCATTGCAAGATATGGCCTGCTACTAAACTATTGTCACATCATTTAACAGGAAACATTTTTCAAGCATTTCCCTGAAAGATGAAATCTCGTTTTTAGGAGGAAGACCTAAAAATCTGAACCTCAGGCACAGATCGCGCATTGCCAAAATTTTATTTACTCAGCTGCCAACTTTCAGTGGAATTGGTAGCAGATGAGAGCATAAATAATTGAAAATCATGGGTAATCAAAACATTGAATTTTCAATATTTTTCTCCTCCAAAACCAGCATATTAGCATTTGCTGCCACCCCCTTCCTGCCATCTAATGGAGCTGCTACTGAGCTATATAGCAGGCTAATACGGGAAGGAAGGAAAATTTTTTTTTTTTTAAGATTTTATTGGGGAATTGGGGGAGGGGAACATCACTGGGAAATCCGGGAAGGGGAACAGACAAGTTGCTGTTCTTCAGCCTAGTTGTGGAGGAGGTCGCTTCACTGGCCCATGTTGGTATTATCATTGTGCTCTTCCTGGGTGAGACAGTCGCTTGCTCACCATTGAACAGCCGCTCTCAGTGACTCACGGCAGCCCAGCTCCAGGTTGAGCTGTTGTTCATCATCTTAGCTGTAGAGGGTGCAGCGTCACTGGCCCTCATGTGGGATCCGAACCGGGGAGCTGGTGTCCCAAGCCAACTCCTAACCAACGCGCCACTTGGCCAGACCAAGTAATTTTCTTTTGTAAGTAAACACGTGCTATGGAGTAGAATGAAAAATGTTTTGAGTGATTCTCACTGTTATATAAGTACACATGTTCAATGTAGAAAAAAAAATTTTAATTAGAAAATTAAAGAGGCAAAAAAGAAAAATTGTCTCTATCCAGAGAAGTCATTATTAACTTTGGTTTAAAATCCTCATCTATCTAAATGCATATTATTTATATATAGATGAGATCATGTTTCAATCTTAAACTATATCTTGAGTTGCTTTCCATGTTAATGGATACATAGGTACATTGTCAAATACTTAGTATTCTTTGAAAATTTTTTAAATTAAAAAATTGGTAATATATCACATGGTAAAAGAAATTTGGACAACACAATACTTACTGAAAAGTATGCAGAATGTTTCTAAATGGTTCTGAAAGTATATTCATCCATGATTGACCTAATAGCCATATTTACTAGTTAGGAGAGAAAGAATAAACAAAGCCAGAAATGTATAGTCTTGTTTCCAACTTCCAAAAGTTATATATAATTAAAGGGAAAGATTGGCTGTTTTTCATTTTAGGGGTGAAAATACCAACTCTGTGGGTGTTACTTAAACACCAAACTTCCTGTTGGCTTGTGGGTCTTGAGAAGATCCATTTGATGTGAATCCCAAGAAGGAATTTATCTGCCAAGATGGACTCCCGCCATCAATTGAGGGCCAAAATTTTATAAATAATAAAAGCCCAACAGCCACTTGCTAACAGGGTCTTCTCAGTACTCTAAATACCAGGAAAAGCTTCCTGCACTATTCCCTGCTTGGTTAGGCCTTCTGAGTCAACTGTTAGAAAGGAGTTCCTAAGACCTGCCCTGTCCAATCAAAACTGCTCCATAATGACCAGTCAGGAGTGGAAGAGAGTGATTATAAAGGAGCTTGAGAAAACTTGGGGAGTTGATGGATATGTTCATTATTTTGACTATGGTGGTTGTATACATACATCAAAACTTATCAAACTATATACTTTAAACGCATGTAGTTTATTGTGTGACAATTATACCTCAAAAATACTGTTAAAAATCAGAATTGTGGGACAGGAGTGAGGATTGATTGATTGTATGGTCATAATAGAACTTTCTGGTGTAATGATACTGTTCAATATCTTGATGGGGTTTGGGTTACTTGTGTGTATGACGTTGTCAAAACTCGTTGAACAGTATATTTGAGATTTGTGCATTTCGCAACATGGAAATGTTAACCTGCCCACCCTCCCCCAAAAAACCCTATAAACAGTTATATTAAACTGAAGTTTTAATATAAATACTGAAGTGTTTAGGGATGAAGTGGACCGATGTCTGAAATTTTGAATGCATAAAAAATTAGGATGGATTAATGAGTAGGAAGAGACATGGATAGATGGATAAGTATGTGATAAAAATAAATATAGTAAATCATTAGTTGTAGAACTTAGGTATGGGTATATAGGCGTTCATAGTATAATTCTACTGACATCTCTGTGTATTTAAATTTTTTCATAAATAAATGTTGGGGGAAAAATTAAGTACAGGTCCTTTAAAGATATCCTGTGCAAAGTGAGGGGCCCTGAAAATTAAGCTTTATTAGTTTCACAGTAAATCCACCTCGGCCTGTATGGTCTGCAAGAGTGTGAATAATTAATCTGCAAGGGAGAATTTTCATTGTAAGTCCTATAGTGAAAGAGAACAAGGGATTTTAAAGATGAAAAGAGTAGAGCCTAATGAAAAGCTCTAGAAAAGAATTTAAAATGCTCAACCTGTCCATGTTTATTCTTCTACATTTTTTATTTATAAAAAAAAACATGTTCTATGTTTTTTTAAAAAAATAAGTAAAAGATAAAATGGAATAAAAATCAGTCATAATTTTATTCCCCAGAGATTACTAGAATATAAACTCCACATGTATTTTTTTTTTATATTTTTGTCTTTCTCAATGATTGGAACAATGCCCAGCACATTTGCTGTTGTATGATTTGGGATGAGTCCTGGAGTGGGGGGAAGGAAGAACTATTTAGAGGTAAGGGTTAGTGTATCCTAGCTAAAGTATATACCATAAGCGAAGGTGTAAAAATTCAGAACAAAAGGGCCATGTGCTGGAGACATGGATTTGAGTCTGGCAGAGATTAAAATCTGGGAGTTCCTAGAATAATATATTTTGTTTGTCTTATATGGCATTAAAATAATATTTGATGAGATGCCCACTTTGAACAATATGGACAGTTTACAGAAAATCTGAATTTCCAGCTTCTTTTGACAAAATGGAAAGCTCTGGAAACACTGGGTATCATCCCTACATAATAAAAATAGGCTAGAGCTGAGAGGAGGCTGTCTTTAACGAGGCTCATATGTTCACTGAAGTCCCCTCCAGACTCAGTTCACTCATTTAGATTCCTTTCTAGACAATATAGGCATTCTCATTTGCAATCTCTGGTAGGAGAGCTCTAGAACTTGATACTGGAAGTCAGATTGGGGATAAGAGATAGAAAGCCATGGGTATCTATTCCCAAATGGGGAGTTTGTACTTAGTTCAATGGGCAAGAGGAAGGATTGAATAGTGTTTGCTTAGTTACTACCATTGTGTAACAAATCACCACAAAACTTAGTGGCTTAAGATAACAATGGTTTATTTAAATCATGACTTTGTGAATGGGCAGTTTGGTCTGGTTCAGCTGTGTGGGCTTGATTGGACTCTCTCATGTGACTGGGTCAGCTCCTGGGCTGGCTGGTCTAGTATGACCTCAGCTGGGACAGGCTGTCTCTGCTCCATGTGGTCTCTCATCTTCCAGCACACTAGTCCAGTTTGTGCATGCCTGGCTAGGGCTCCAAGAGAGGGAGTGGGAGTTTGTAAAGCCTCTCGAAGCCTAGGCTTGGAACCGGCACACCATCACGTCTACATTTTATTGGCCAATGCCAGCCCAGATTCAAATGGTGGGGAAGTAGACTCCACTTCTTTTTTCTCTTTTAAAAATCATTTTATTGTGAAAAGTTTTAAGCATATTCAGAAAAGAAGAGCATATGAACCACCATGTACCCATCATCCAGATTCAACAGTTACCAATTCATCGCTAATCTTATTTTATCTTTTTCTTTATAACTATTCTCCTTTCCCCTAGGTTATTTTGAATCAAACCTGAGATATATAATTTCATCATCTGTAAACATTTCACTTTGCAGGAGAGAGTATCTCTCCTTTTTTTTTTTCAATTGAAGTATAACTGACACAATAATATATTAGTGTCATGTGTAGACTCCACTTCTTGATCGGAGGAGCTGCAAAGTCACAGTGCCAAGAGGTGTGGATATACAGAGAGATACATTTTTGTAAAACATCTGTCACAGTTACTATCAGAGGTGTATTTTTTTTCCCCAGAGGTGTATTTTTGACAACATCATTTGGAGTGGGATGTGCTCTGTATGACTGGAACTGTTTTCTATTTGTAACAGAGAAATTCTGCCTCCCTGCACCCATAAATAACTCCAAAAGAATTGGAGAGAGAAAGATGCCCAGCTTGCACCTCTTCCAGCTTCTTGTCCAGGGATCCTTTAGTTTCAGTTTCAATTTTTGTAAAAGACAGACAGTTTCTCTAAGATTTCTGTGAATGAATGAATAGAAAGTTAGACAAGAGCACGGAACTTACAGCCAAGCTAGAAACACAAAGACATTTCTGCACCACTGTGTAGTGTAGAAACTGCATTCTCCTTGGTCTGGCTAGAGCCTAAACCACCATTTGCATTCATGCCTTAGTGATATGAAGTTCCCTCTTACTTGGTCAACTTTTAAAATACAAGTAGCTTGTGGGAGGGGTAAGCTCACATCTTAGTGTGAGTTAGTCTCAGGTATTAGATTCTCTAATACCAGGAGGACCCTGGGTTGTAAGGGAGCCTGGAAGGGGAAGGATGGGAGAGAGGGAGACAGGGAAGGAGGGAGAGAGGGAGGGAGGGAGGGAGGGAGGGAGGAAGAAAGGTAGACACAAGGACAGAAAGTTAAAAAAACAAACAAAAGAGAAGAAGGGAGAGAGAGAGGAAAGGAAGTAGGAAAGAAGGGGGAGGGAGGGAGGGAGGGAGAAGGAGAGAGAGCGAGAGTGAGCAAGAGAGAGAGAGAGAGAGAGAGAGAGAGAGAGAGAGAGAGAGAGAGAGGGAGGAGGGAGGAAGGAAGGAAGGAAGGAAGGAAGAGAGAAAGAATTCAGGCTGGAGTAATTTACCTTCCCAACCCACTTTAGACTAAACAGTGTACTTAGCACAGGGTTTCTGAACTCCTGTACTATTGATATTTAGGCTGGATAATTGTTGTAGGGTGCTGTCCTGTGCATTGTAGGATGCTGAGTAGCATTTATCTACCAGATGCTCTCCTGAGTTGTGACAACAAAAATTTCTTTAGGCATTGCCAATTGTCCCCTGAGGGGCAAAATCACCTCTACTTGTGAACGACAAAGGAAATATTTCATAAATGTGAAATAACAGGTGTGGCTCATGCTCTTTAGACCAGAAAGGACCCTACCATTAACAGAGGGCCGCCTGGCAGGCTCAAATGCCCGGCAATCATCAATGATCTTCTGCAATTGAGGAGGACAATCTTCACCCAGTGGCTCCTGGTGCTGGTCCATAGCCACCAGCTGGTAAATCATCTGAGAATCACAGCCTGCCATGGAAACAATAGGATAGGAGGCTTAAATATTGCTCTGATACAAACACACTCTGGATGCTGATAGCTGGCATCAGAACTAGGGATTTGAGTATTAAAGAAACAAGACCCCTGGGGCCGGCCGAGTGGCGCATTTGTTAAGAGCTGGCTTGGGATGCCAGCTCTGAGCAGCAGGGCCCCGGTTCGGATCCCACATGAGGACCAGTGACACTGCCCTCTACAGCTAAGATGGTGAACAACAGCTCGACCTGGAGCTGGGCTGCCGAGAGTTGCTAGCAATGGCGTAGGCAGCAGCCCCTGCTGCAGTGGGCTGCCATAAGCTACCGTGTGGCAGGCAGCCAGTGTGAGCAGTCAGCAGCCGATGTGAGCTGCCAAGAGCCGCTGTGAGCGGCCGTCCACAGCAGGCAACCAATCTGCCTCACCCGGGAAGAGCACAATGATAATTCCAATATGGGCCAGTGAAGCAACATCCTCCACAACTAGACTGAAGAACAAAAGGACAGCTACTTGTCTGTTCCCCTTTCCCCGATTCCCCAATAAAATCTTTAAAAATAAAAAAAGAAACAAGACCCCACTGACCAACCCAGGCAGTACCAACATTGGAGAACAAAGCACCCAGGACAGCACAGCACTGATGGAGACTTTCTAGTCTATTGGAAGGGGACCCAATCTTAGGGCCTTATGAGCCAGCCTCCAAACTGGTTACCTTCAAACGGGATCTTCCCAGTGGCAATTTCCCAGAGGACAATTCCAAAGCTAAAAGAAAACCAAGAAACTGATCAACAATAACAATATTTCCCACTCCCCTCTCGCCATTTCTAGAAACCTCAGTGAATTCTGATTACCACCCAATTCCACTCAACAGAGTAGAGTTATGATGGTCCTTGGATGTGCTGTTTGACTTGGGCCTTCCTGTCCTGTTCATCTGAGTTAGAATCTGCATAAGAACATGAGCATACCTGTAGATTTCATCTTTTATGTCATATTTATTGTACACATTTTTCAGTTTCTCAGGTGAGACATATGCGGTGCGTCTGACTTTCTCTACTTTTTTCCCCTTTTCTCTTTCTCGACTGATGGAAGTCTGTGTTTTGCTCAATTCAAATCCTGTAAGCTAGATAGAAAGGGGAATTAGAGGCAGAAGGAAACAGCATGATCTTGGGTTGGGAGTAGAGGACAAGGAGGCAGTGCTACACGTGATTGTCAGGGGATGGTCTTTTTACATTTGGGATGTATTGCAAGTGGTGTCTTCTGTCTGTGTGGCTACTCTACTAGCTGGCAATTATAATGCATCAACCAGGAGACACACAAAGAGGTTTCTGTTCTATAAAATGAGGCAGTGAGGATGACTTGAGGTAACGGTTATGAAGCACAGTAAGACTTGATAAGTTGTAGCTGTTCTAGTATTACTGTGTTAGATACAGGGCTTTCTCAGTTGAGGACTCAATTCCACTAAAAGAGGGTGGACAGAGGTATATGGAACCACCACATGGCTTGCTTTCTCTCAGAAGCAGATGAAAAAAATGACATGGGGGCATCCCCTCTGTTCTGCCTGACCCAGCCTATTCCTTTGGATTTTACATGACAACTGTGAGTTACTCCACTGACCCTACATGGCCCACGCCATGCTCTTAAAAAAGCCACAGCACAATTAATGGGGATGTATGTATATTCTCCTTGCCCCATGCACAATTGCCAGGGCTGCCAGCCCCAAACTCAGCCAAATACCCAGATCTAGGAGCAAAAACAGGAAAAGGATAAGGCACTTAGAGGGTGCATCGCCTTTTCACTACATGTTTACTGAACACTGACAGCTTCTGACATCTGGCAGCTACCAGGGACGAAATGCTGAATAGCACAGGAGTGGTGTGGACATGGTGCTCTGGGACCACTTATATCAATCACACCAGTGAGGAGAGAAGGCATCTGAAAGGCAGAACAGACCTGTCTTCTGTTATTCTCATAAGGCTGGAAGAAAGAAAGCCATCTATGCAAAGAAATATTCTTTTAGCATTTGGGAATTGTGGTCACTGAGTTAACAAAAAACCCTTTCCTTTTCCATATGAAAATCTGGCTTTCAGATAACTTTTTAGCTCCACTCCCCTGGGAACTTGATAAAGTCAGACTGTCACCTACACTGCTACGTAATATTGCTGATGATAAAAAAAATGACAGCTGAGGCCAGCTCAGTTGGTTAAGAGTTAGTTTAGAGGCAAGCTCTGAGCAACAGGGCCGATGGTTTGATTCCCACATGGGCCAGTGATGCTGTGCCCAAGCTGAGCTGCTGCTGAGCTGCCAACAGGTGGCAGGATGGCTCAGCTGATGAGAGCACATGCTCCTAACAACAAGACTGCCTGTTTGATAGTGGGCTATGCCCACCCACAACTAAGACTGAACTTGGCACCTTGAGCTTAGCTGCCACTCGGATGGCTCAGTGGATAAAGTGCGCGCTCTTAACAAAAGGCTGCTGGTTCTACTCCTGCATGGGATGGTGGCTACACCCACCCACAACTAAGATTGAACACAGAACCTTGAGCTCAGAGGCCATGAGCTGCCAATGGGCAGCCAGATGGCGACTGGCACCCTCCACAACTAAGACTGAAGAACAACTTGGCTGGTCCCCTTCCCCAATTCCCTCAACACTGTCCCCCTCCCCCAATTCCCCAATTAAAATAATAATAATAATAATAATAATAATAATGACCGCTGACTGGTAAATTGCTGGGTTTTTTTAGTGGGCATCAACTTTAATATGGGCTGACTTGTTTGGGAGTGGGGAGTCTAGGGGTGTCTCCTTTTTGTTCTTTTTGCAAGTGAAAGCCCAGCGAGATTGTCTAATTCCAAACAAACTGTGAACTAGAGAAGTCATTCTCATCTTCTGCAGCCTCCACTTGGCTGCTGGCAGGTCGGGAATCCCGGATCACCAGCAGGTTCCCAAGTTCTAGCCACAGGCAGTCCCATGGACAAACAGGGTCCACAAATGAGAGGGTGGGGGATATGAAGACTATAAGGAGCAGATAGGGAGCTGGCTGAGTGGTGCGTTGGTTAAGAGTTGGCTTGGGACGCCAGCTCTGAGCAGCAGAGCCCCGCATGTGGGCCAGTGACGCTGTGCTCTCTACAGCTAAGATGGTGAACAACAGCTTGACCTGGAGCTGGGCTGCAGTGAGTCACCAGCGACGGCATAGGCTGCAGTGGGGCTGGCCCGCAGCTGGTGTGAGCTTTAGTGAGCTTTAGTGAGCTGCAGTGAGACACCATGGCCACCGTGAGCAGCCGTCCAATGGCCAGCGAGCGACTGCCTCACCTGGGAAGAGCGCAATGATAATACCAACATTGGCCAGTGAAGCGACATCCTCCACAACTAGACAGAAGAATAAAAAGGACAGCAACTTGTCTGTTCCCTTTCCCCGATTCCCCAATGCTGTTCCTCTCCCCCAATTCCCCAATAAAATACATACATATATATATATAAAAAGAGAGAGCAGATAGGGATGCTGGGATTTGCGGTGACTCTTATAACTGGCATGGCTCTTGTGGGACACTTGAAGGTATGTCTACAGAATTGTTATAAGGGAATATTGACTCTTGTGAGTCATAAGGCTTCTAAAGTTGGAGGAGAGCCTCTTTCTCTAGCAAGGCACAGAGACTATTTCCTGGATTACTGTGGGGTCAGCTGTTGGGACCCTCACTGGAGAGAAGGAGTTGATCCTGCCCTGCTGGGAAGCTGTTTCCTGCATGTTACCCTTCTGAGTGACTCCAAATGCCAAGTGTGGCCTGTGACAGTCTTGTGAGTCTGAATGCCTAGTTGGACATAAGAAGATTCCCTAGTGGGTGCTGGAGGGATGTAGAGAGTGTCCGGGCATCTAAGGGGAAATGGCTCTTAGCTCATCCCTGCTAAGTGGGCAGTGAGGGAAGCCAGCCATCAAAACAGCAGGCAAGATTGAGCTTGTCCTGTGCTGGGCACAGGCAGGGAAAGTGTTGAGTTTAGTTCTAAGGTTAAGGCGGAGAACAAGTAGGCACAGCCTTTCTGGGAAACAGGTGTCCCTCTCCCAGTGCCAAACAGTCACACAAGTTGAACTCCAAGAGCCCCCTGGAAGGCCACACTCACCTTGACTTGGTAGCCTTCAGTTACCAGGAAGCTTGTGCTGCTGATGTTTCTGTGGAGTTCGGTTGTTTCTGAATGGTGCATCCTGACATGACCAAAGGCAGGGAGCATTAGTGACCTTTGCACAGACCTCTAGGGGGCTCAATAGTCATTACTGGGACAATGATGCTGGTCACTACCATACCGTCCTCATGGGTATCTATCTATGGATAGATGAGATGAGGAAGGAGGGACAGGGACAAGTGGATATTAAACTCCTGGATGCTTTTAGCTATCTATAAGGGCAAAGAGGCTCCAGTGCCCATGGATATTCCACTGCAGATGGCAGCTGTGAGCTGTGCCAAGTTGGGGATGAGTATGCAGAACTGGTAAAGGATCAGAGGCCATGTGAATGGGGCACTAACAGCATCTCCTACAGTCCAAGATTACTTCTCATAAAATCCACTAGTGTAGGGAGTTACGATTATTAATTATTAATAACTTAATTATTATATCTATAACAAATAGCTAAGGCAGTCTTTCCAAAAGTATGGGATAAGTGGTATGCAAGAGGACATAATAAGAAAATTATTCTTTCAATCTGTTTCAGTCTTTCTGATCTCATCAAGGAGAAAGTCTCAGTTTGGTGTCAGGTGCCTTTAATACCTCTCTAAGCCTACTAATATCTCCTTTGTACAAAAAGAATGTGGGTCTGAATTATAGACCTTTTGGCACCATCCAGACGGAATTTAATAACACTGTTTTGATTTTATTTATGGTCACCTATTTGTGGCAGGTGATTCTGGTTTCCGATTTATGGAAGTAATAGAAAGTGTTCTTTTCTTTTACTTCACTTAGGTTCTTAAAGTGAGCTAATTTGGGCCGGCCGAGTGGCACGTTGGTTAAGAGTTGGATTGAGACGCCAGCTCTGAGCAGCAGGGCCCCAATTCAGATCCCACATGAGGGCCAGTGGCGCTGTGCCCTCTAGAGCTAAGATGGTGAACAACAGCTCAACCTGGAGCTGAGCTCCCATGAGTCGCTGATGACAGCGTAGGCTGCAGTGAAGCTGCAGTGGGCTGCCATGAGCTACCGTGAGTGGCTGGCAGCCAGCGTAAGCAGCCAGCAGCTGGCCTGAGCTGCCATAAGCCACCGTGAGCAGCTGTCCAGTGTCTGGCGACCGACTGCCCCAGCCAGGAAGAGCGCAATGATCATAATACCAACATATGCCAGTTAAGTGACATCCTCCACAACTAGACTGAAGAACAAAAGACCAGCAACTTGTCTGTTCCTCTTCCCCAATTCCCCAATAAAGTCTTAAAGAAAAAAAAGATGAGCTAATTTAAAGAATGATACCAAGTAAATAATAACAGCAGAACTATGGATATGGTAAAAGCCATGAAAGTGGTCTGTGAATGAATGACCTTTGGGGATGCTTGAGCTAAAGAAATCAGAGACTCTGCATGTGAGAGTAGGGAGAGTTGCCAAGTAAAATACAGGACACCCAGTTGATTTTGAATTTTGGATAAATCAGTGAATTTTTTTTTTACTATGAGTATGTCCCAAAATTGCATAGGACATACTTCTACTAAAATTTTACTTATTGTTATCTGAAATTCTATACATCTGAAATTTTAGTAAAAGTATGTCTCGTAATATTTGGGATATACTTATACTAAAATATCATAGTTGCTTATCTGAAATTCAAATTTAACTAGGCATCTTGTATTTTCATTTGCTAAATCTGACAACCTTAAGAGTAAGGCCGGTCTAATTTTACAGGTGCAGCCTGGACATTAAATTCAACCCTCTATTCTGTGAGCTGGCATTCACTGGCTTAAGCCTCCCTTCCTCCTCCTGTCTAAGCTGTTATAATCAGAACAAGTATTAATAGTAAAACAATGTATGGAAAGGGAGACTATCTGGGACTTCCAGCCTGTTCCCTCATCATCTCTGGGATTATCAGCAGGGGAGGCAGACTCATTCCATTCTTCTTGACGCCCTTTCACCCCATATGGTACCTGTACAAGCCTCTGGCTGCCCCCAAGACCAGCAAGATACGCTCAGAGATTTCGAGGTCCTTTTTCATATCCAGCAGTTCCCGCAGGGTCCCAAGCTCACAGTACTCCATGATGATAGAAAACTGAGGTGGGGTCACTGATGGAAAGGAACCAAACACTATGAAGATCAGCCCCCTCAGAGGTCTTACTCTGCAGCCCATCTCTCCCTTTCTCTACAGAGGCAGACTCGGCTCGGCAGCTCCACCCACCATCTCATACAGTTTGCTCCTCCTTGAAGGAGCCAAATACCCGCAGAGTTTCCACACCTCTTCTTCATGGTATTTGGCATGTTAAAATTCTACTTTTCTCTTAGTTATTTGAGTAATGTCTCCCCCACTCAACTGTAAGCCACCAGAGGGCAGGGTCTGTTTTGTTCATACAGTGTTCACAAGGACATTAGTAAATATGTGTGGAAGGAATGAATAACCCACAGGCCACTGGGGCTGGGGAGGGGAGCGCACATCAGAAGTGGAGGTCTCAGATCACGGGCCTGAGATGCAAGAATCCACACACAGAGTGAGTCAGTCACCTCAGCTATCACCCAGAAGAACAAATGTCACTGGAAGTTTTCCTTTAGTTGCCTGAGGCTGTGGAGAAACTTCCAGAGGGGATAAGACAGGAGTTGATCTGTCCTCTCTGCAGGCAAGAGCAAAAAAACATAACCCACAAGAGAGGCCATGCTGTGAGAGAAAATGCAGCTATATTAAAAAATAAAAATTAAAAAGAACCTGATGCATGAGGTTCTTGGTAAAGGGGCAGGTTAATTTAGTTTTTAGATTTGATCTACACTAATGATGACAAGGGTAGAGTCCTTGCTCAAGTCAGTCAGCTTGATCGTGTTTTATAGCAACAAAACACACCCATTACTCAGGCCTGCACCTGAACATCCCACCCCCGACTGGGTTCCCAGTGGGCTGGCAGGAGAAGATGTGACCACATTAGTGCAAACCAGCCCTTGGGCTGAAGCCAAATTCAAGCCCACCTCTCCGGAAAGAAGATGGAAACCTGCACCTTGGGACGTAAACAAATTAACATTAATAATAATAACTCCATGTGGATTCCACCCTTCAGCTGTTCTTTAAAAATGCAATGCATTTTAACACAGAAGACACACAACAGACTCCAAAAGAAGGACCAACTCCAGGAGCACTCCTTACCTGCTTCATCAATGCAAATCCCAAACATACGCAGGATGTTGGGAGAATCAAATTTCCTCATGGTTCTGATCTCATTATTGAAAATTTGCCTCACCATTCTATGGGGATAAAAGGGACAATTAGGATTTCAGGACTGGAAGTTCCCTCTGAGAACATTTAGTGTGGTGACCCTCTGTGTCTGTGTGGGGCATGAGAGATTGATTGTCAGCATCTCCTGGGGTGAGAACGGGTGCTGTGATGAGCTTGGCCATGGACGGCAGTGTCTGGAACCCCTCAGGTGTGTTAGGCAGCAGAATTAGCATGTACGATACATGCTACAACATAGAAAATAAATATAACCTTTAAAATAAATATTATGCTAGGTGAAAGGAGCCAGACAAAAAAGGCCACATATTATATTAATCCATTTACATGGAATGTCCACAACACGTAAATCCACAGAGACAGAAAGTAGATTAGTAGTTGCCTAGGGATAGATATGGTGGGAGTGGGAATGTATGGGGAGTGACTGGATATAGGGTTTCTTTCTGGGATGCTGAAAATGTTCTAAAAATTACATGGCAATGGTTGCACAACGTTGTAAATATATTAAAAGCTATTAAATTATACATTTTAATGGGAGAATCTTATGGTATATGTAAATGATATTTCAATAAAGTTGTTAAAAAATGTTATCCTAATCAAAATCTCAATGTATATGTTGAGGAATGTGATAAAACTTTCTTTGATACTTATTTAGCTTAGTCAGCCTGAGAAATAAGAGTCAAGAGGAGGGAGATACCTTACTAGATATTGAGAATTACTACAAAGTCATAATAAAAAACGAAACAAAATACAGTGTGTTATCAGTGCAAAGACAGACAAATGGACCAGTAGAACGGATTAGAGAGATCAGAGTCAGATCAGTGAGGAAGAACATTTAATAGATGGCGTAGAAAAAATGGACTCACTCTGTGGCTAAAAATAAAACTAGGCTCTACATGATATCACATACAAAGGTGGGTTACAGGAGGATTAAAACCTAAATGTGAAAAATAAAACTATGAAGTTAATGGAAGACAACCTAGAATAACTTTGCCATCTAGGGGTGTAGAAGGGCCCCCTCAAGAGCACAAATAATAATGTAAAATTTTGGTGGATTTCTTTACATCAAAATTAAAGATGTCTGATGATGGACACCATGGACAAAATTACAGAAAATGGGATAAGAAAAGATCTTAAAAATATCTAAAGCTAAGAAACAATTAATTTCCACAATATACAAGGATCTTCTACAAACTGACAAGACAAAAACAGAAACTGTGACAGAAAAAAAGGGCAGAGGATATAAACAGGCAATATAGAGAAGTGGAAACTCAAATAGTTAAGTCACATGAATAAATGTTTGAATTCATTAGTAAACAGAAATGTAAGTGAAAATAACTATAAGGTGTTGTACTTATACTTTATAACCAAAAGGATGAAAAAATTAGAAAGCTGGATAATACCAAGGGAAATATGTAACTATAGAGCCATCACACATTGCTGGAAAGAGTACAGGCATATACAAGCCAATCTGAAGAGTTATCTGGTAGAACTTAGCCAATTTCATATATATCCTTTGACCCATCAATTCCTCTCCAGGCAATACAGCCCAAAGAAATTCTCATACAGATCCACAAAGGGCGGCATAATTTTTGGTGGGAGAAAATTGGAAACAGATTGAGTTCCATCACTGGAAAAATAGGTAAAATGTGGATCTACACCACAAACAGCAGTCAGAAGGAAAGGGCTACAGGACATGTTCTATGATGTTGAGTGAAAAAGATGAGAAAAGTAGGCAATAGACATACCACTCTATCATTTGTGAAAATTAAAAATGTGCGTGCATACAATAACAACGTACATTTTGCAAGAGCTCATGCAAACAAAACACCTTATTGTCTGTGGAGGTGATAGGGAAATGAAGGAAATACATTTTTTAAATATCTAAATACAGGAATAAAAGAGAGAAGGTTCTAGAATTGAGGTGAGAAAACATGCATTTAAGTCTAGGCTCTGCTCCTTAAGAGTCAAGGGCAAGTCATACCCTTCGAGGACCATGCTTCCCCCACCTAAAAATGGAGACACTATGCCTCTCTCCTTGGGGAGTAATAGAGAAGAAGTGAAATGATACATAGAGAACTATGCAAAATGACTTACTCGGTGCTTCTGGCCTGGGGGCTGTTGAATACTTTTATGGCCACTGAAGATTGGTGGTATTTTCCTTTATAAAATGTGCTGAATTCAGTTTTCCTTAGCAGGGTCCAATCGGATCCTGAAAGCTCCTCCTTCTTAATCTCCTTTATTTGATATGCTGGGGTCTTCTTAGTGGATTTCTCTAAGTCTGACCGTAGGAGAGAAGGAAATAAAGCGTCAATGAAAAAAAAAAACAACACAGAGTCAATGAGGTGAGGAAGGTGTCCTAAGAGAGAGGCGTCCTAGTAACATGCGAGTGGGAAGCCCTATGCCATGAACCAAAGCTGGTCCTGGCTTTGGTTCTGATTGACTCATACTGGGGGAGAGGTTCCAGTGCCTCTGAGTGGCCAGTAGAGACAGAGCTGGAGAGCTAACAGAGAGCTGTCATGCACTTCCTTTCCCTCCTCTTCAAACCTTGTCTGTCTCTTCAGCCTAAACCTCGATCCCCATGCATCTCTCTCATTTTGGAGTTCTCCCTACTCCTACAGACACGCAGCTTGGCACTTGAACACTTAGCATCGTGTCTAGTCATTTCAGTTCTAACAGATACATAGTTCAAGGTCAGTAAATCCACTGCCGTGTCTCTCGTTCCTCTCCCTTCCTCTACCCCATGGTTGTGAGCTCCTGGAAGGCCAGGGTCTTTCTCTGCATCTGACTTTCCTCTACGCATGGGCTCTGACACAAAGCAGATACTCACAGATTTGTCAAGTGAGTGATGAATGAGTATTTTAAATTTGATTTGAATTTCTTCTTGGAAAGTCAGCAAATGAATTGAAGCTTTGATGCTAGCTAGAGGAAGTTTTCAGTACTTTGATAGGTGCTAGAAGATACCTTGCTGGTCAAGGAGTCCCTTTAAATGCTATTCCATGGACAGAAGCCTGGATAGTCAGGAGCACATCCCCAAATCTGTGGGCTGCTTTCAGCCACCCAGCCCAGAAAATGGACAAGGGTAGGGATGGGGAAAGGCTGGAGTTCCCCATAAACAAATGACTTCTAGTTTGGGGGCAGTCAGAAGCAGCAGGACACATGATAACTCACATTGCCTCATGGTTTTGATGATTTGTTTTGTGATGTTTTCCCATTGCCTCAGTGAAGCTTCTATACTTTCGCTTTCTGCAGGAAAAAGAGCAGCAAATAATAAAAAAATAGAAATGCTAATTAAAAGCACACCAAGATCCCATTTTTTTCTACCTATCATATTCACTGCAGTGTGAATTACTACTACTGTTCATGGATATTCAGCTTTCTACTTCTAAGCACACAGGAAGTGCCTTGAAGCATGGCTGTATGACTTGCTTTGTCCAAGAAATGAAGTGAAAGAGATGTCAGGGAAGCTGGTGTCAGCATGAAAGTGCCATAACATTGCAAGTCCCTGGAAGGAGGACAGCTACCTTGGGAAGTTTCCTGGATTTTACCTGAATAAGAAATACACTTTGTTTCTTTAAGACACTGAGTTTGTCTGTGTTTTTTTTTTTAACCACAGCATAATCTTTTTTTTGTTTTTTGTTTTTGTTTTTAGCTGAGCCATACTGCCACCTGTTGGAAGCTCAGAGGCAGCTCAGCTCGGGCTGTGAATCAAACCGGGGACCCTGTTGCTCAGAGCTCAAACTCTTGAGCGAGCTCTTAACCAACTGAGCCACTCGGCCGGCCCATTAACCACAGCATAATCTAATCTATCCTTATTTATATACTCAGACATACATTTAAAAATTGATAAAACACTATATTGGGTGGCCAACCACTCCTGTTTTTCCAGGACTGAGTAGTTCTGAGGACATGGGACCTTCAGTGCTAAAACCAGGGAAGTCTTTAATGGAGAAAAGTGTGGAGAAACAATCTCATACATTATTGGCAGGAGTGATATTTGTATAACCTCTGTGGAGGGCAATCTGGCAACCTCTATCAAAATTTAAAATGCCCACACTCTGACCCAAGAGTTAGACCCAATACTTCCACTTCTAGGAATTGTTCCAAAACATATCCTGAAATATACACAAAGATGCTCAAGGCGGGGCTATTTACAAATGTGAAAAATTGGACACAACTTAAATGACCATCATAGGGAGCTGCTTAAATATACCTGGTCCATGTATACACCAAAGAATACTAGACAACTCTATGGAAATGTCTGCAAAAGATTATTCAAGATTATTTAATGAGAAAAGCAAGAAGCAGAACAGTGTGTTTAGGATGCTACTAGTTGTGTAACAATGACAACAAAATATGTACACTTAACTCTGCAAGAAAAAACTGGTAAGAGAGATTGTGTCTCGAAAAGGAAACAGGTCCCTTAAGGTCAAGGGTAACAGGGAGATTTCTTTCTCATGCTGGGCCCTTTGTGTACCTTTTGAATTTTGTGCTATGCAAATGTATTGCCTGATGAAAATATTTCTTAAAAACGTAAAGCAAGAGCAGGAAGTAAATCCTGTGCCCCAAGTTGATGGCTCCAACATGCCTCCCACCTCCACCAGGAAGGGGAACAATGGGCCCTGGAGATTAGGAAGGCTGGGGGCCAATCCTGCCTTGCAGCTGAGTCAGCCTCTGCACAGACCCAGCCCAATTCCTGACTCTCTTTCTCCTTGGCAGTGGGTGTTTTTTTTTGGGGGGGGGGTTACAGGTACCTCATTTTCCCTTACCCAGAAAAGGACCCATTTTGCCCACAGGTCTCCTCCAGTTCTGGTTTGTCCTGTTCGAGTGTCTCCTGCTGACCCAAATGGGGAGAGACCGCTCTCCACATCAAGGTGGCAAAAAAGTTATTCCTCTGGGCTCCAGTGCCCAGAAGGTTAATCCCAAATGTCCGTCACCTTCTCCTCACTTTCTCTCTCTCCACCCATAATCTTTACAAGAGGGAAGGGTTTGGAATTCATAGCGCCAGGATCTGAAAAGGGGTAAAGAGGCCACATTTGTTTCTGGTGGCCCTGGCTCTGCTGTCATACCCCACTCCACCCTAGCCCATGTGTCATCCCCTTAGAGCCTTGTCCTCCATAAGTCCACCTAGTTCAAGGGCCACTCTAGTGCAAGCCACTGTTATTTCTTACCAAGTCTCTAAAATGGACTTCTCACTGGGCTCACATTTTCACTCTTGCCCCCTGCTGTATGTTGAATTATTGGTCCCAATTTTTCATGCCTATTTAGTAGCAGTATACAGCCACACCCTGGCCATGGCCTCACAGGGGGCATACTGTACTTCCCTGTCCCTTCATATTGAGCTTGGCCACATGACTCGCTTTCGATGTTAGTGAATGTGACACAAATAGAGGCTTGAAACGTGCTGGCACCGTTGGGTTCGCCTACTTGCAATTCTGCCACGAGACCATCATCGTCCAGGTACTCACTGCTGCTGTAGCCTTGTCTCCAGAATGCGACACATTAAACAGACCCACTTTGGACCTGCTGCCTGGAGCTAAGCCCCGCGAAGCCCGCCTGAGATCAGAAAAACTCCAGTGGACCCACCGATCTATGAGCAGGAGAATTAATGACTATTGTTTTAAGCCTCTGAGTTTGGGGATGGTTTGTTATGCAGTATTAGTGCAGCAACTGACTAATACACATCACTACAGTCCATGTGCCACATTGCAGCCCAAGTGACTTTCTTTTAATACAAATCAAATCATGACAGGCCCATGTTTAAGGGCCTCCCTTCACAGGCCTCCTATGACTCCTAGAATAAAATCTACATTTCTTATCATGCCTCCGTGGCCCTGCATGACCTTGCTCCTGTATCTTCTGGCTTACTTGTCCACTTTCATCTGGTACCACTCTCTCTGCCTTGCCTACCACACAAAAACCACCCTGGCCTCCTGGTTGTCCCTTGCACATGCCACACTTATTCCCATCTCAGGGTCTTTGGATTCCCTGCTTTCTCTACCTGGAACGCTCCTCTCCCTCATCTTCATATGGCTTGCTCCTTCTCATTATTCAAGGTCTCCAGTCAAATGTCACCTGGTCAGAGAGGCTGATCACTCTCTCTGCACCTACTGTCACTTTCCCTCTCATTACCCTGCTAATGACTTTCATTGCCTTTAGATAAAACTATTTGCTTAGCCCTCCCTCTGCAGACTACATTCCACGAGGGCAGACATCTTGTCTATTTTACCCTGTGCTGAATCTCAAACTCTTAGAACAGTGCCTGGCTCACAGTTGATACAGTCACATGCATCATAATGATGTTTTGGTCAATGACAGACTGCATGTACAATGGTGGTCCATAATATTCTATTGGCGCTGAAAAATTCCTATCGCCTAGTGATGTCAGAGCACAACACAGTACTCATGTGTCTGGTGATGCTGGTATAAACAAACCTACTGTGCTGCCAGTCATATGAAAGTAGAGCACATACAATTATGTGAGTACATAATACTTGATAAGAAATGACTGTGTTACTGGTGTATTTATTTACTATGCTATACTTTTTGTTATTTTA